GCAATAGCAGTACTAGCAGCAGCAGCAGCAGCAGTAGTAGTCGTAGTGGTAGTCATAGTAGTAGTAGTAGTAGTAGTGGTCGTCGTCGTCGTCATCGTGGTGGTGGTGGTGGTGGTAGCAGAGGTAATTGCATGGTTCCAAGAAGCAACCCTCGAAACACTGCTTTCTCATGGATGGTACGCTTTCGGAAGTTGCTTTGCCCAGCAACACAGCAGCAGTACCAGCAGAAGTAGCAGTAGCAGTAGCAGCAGCAGCAGTAGCAGTAGGAGTAGTAGTAGTTGTTGTTGTTGTTGCAGTAGGAGTAGGAGTAGTAGTAGTGGTACTAGTAGTAGTCGTAGTAGTAGTCGTCGTCGTAGTAGTAGTCGTCGTCGTTGTAGTAAAGGTATTAAATTGCATGGTTCCAAAAAGCAACCCCCCAAAACACTTCTTTCTCAGCAGTAGCAGTACTAGCAGCAGTAGCAACAGTAATAGTGGTTGTAGCAGAGGTAATTGCATGGTTCCAAAAAGTAACCCCCAAAACACTGCTTTCTGATGGAGGGTAGGCTTTTGGGGGGTTGCTTTGCCCAGCAACAGCAGTAGCAGTTCTAGCAGCAGTAGTAGTAGTAGTCGTCGTCGTCGTAGTAGTAATAGTGGTTGTAGTAGAGGTAATCGCACGGTTCCAAAAAGCACGCCCCGAAACACAGCTTGCTCATGGAAGGTAGGCTTTCGGGGGTTGCTTTGCCCAGCAACAGCAGTAGCAGTACTAGCAGCAGCAGCAGCAGGAGGAGTAGTAGTAGTAGTAGTAGTGGTAGTGGTAGTGGTAGTGGTGGTAGTGGTAGTGGTAGTGGTAGTAGTGGTAGCAGTGTAGTAGTAGTCGTCGTCGTCGTAGTAGTAGTAGTGGTAGTAGTAGTAGTGGTAGTAGTAGTAGTAGTCGTCGTCGTCGTAGTAGTAGTAGTAATAGTGGTTGTAGTAGAGGTCATTGCATGGTTCCAAAAAGCAACCCCCGAAACACTGCTTTCTCATGGAAGGTAAGCTTTCGGGGGCTGCTTTGCCCAGCAATAGCAATAGCAGTAGCAGCAGCAGCAGGAGTAGTGGTAGTGGTAGTGGTAGTGGTAGTAGTAGTAGTAGTAGTAGTGGCAGTAGTAGTAGTAGTAGTCGTCGTATTCGTCGTAGTAGTAGTAGTAGCAGTAGGAGTAGTAGTGGTAGTGGTAGTGGTAGTGGAAAAGCAAAGCCTATCCGACGATGATCGCGGAACGCAAACAGACCCATTGAGGGCATGAGGCCACTTTTTACTTCCACGGTCCGGGGCGGTCCGGGGCAGGAAGGCTGCAAAATCACAATCCGCTTTGTTTCCCATGGCTCTTCTTGGTGCTGGGCTCTGACGATTTTGGGCTTTTTGTTTTCCTTTGTGCCTCATGCTTCTTCTGAATGCTGGCTGAGAGGATGCTGGGCTCAGACGATTTGTGTCCCATGCCCGTTGTGCACGTTCGGCTGAAATGATTCTCCTTTGTTTCCCTTTGTCTCCTATGGCAAAGAAACAAGATGCTGGCAGAAAGCAACACCAAGGTGATGCTGCTGTTGGAAATTGATGCTGGTGTAACTTGCTTTGTCTCCTTGCTGCAATGAACCTGCTTTGATTCCCTTCGTCTCCTGTTTTGGTCGGTGGCGACGGTACTGGCGACGGTGGCGACGAGCTCGCTGTGTCTCCTTTTGCGCTCTTTTGTGTTGCGCAGCTCTTCTGCTGAGTTGATGCTGTTTTGGCCCCCTTTGGTCTCCCACGGCTCCCCGGATGGGCTGCGATGATTCTGCTTCGCCTTAGTCTTCCATGGCTTTTCTGGGAGCTGCTGAGTTTTTTTTTGATTTGCGACTGGTATGCATCTGGTTTGGTTCATTCATCGGGTTGGGCACTGCAGCTGCAAGCCACAGCAAGCTGCCACTGCTGTTTGGAGCCGATGCTGGTGCGCCCCACAAGAGTGTCGCAACAGGGGTGTCTTACAAGAGTACCGCGCAAGGGTGTCCAACAAAAGTGCCCACCGAAGAGTCCAAGAGAGTTTGACAAGAGCGGCTCACGGTGCCCTATGCCTGGTTCACGGCCGACATTTGTGACCCACAAGCGCTCGTGCTACAAGACCGCCCCACAACAGCCCAAGAATGCTCCACTGCTCCACAAGAGCGCCCCCATTTCCCCACAAGTGTTCCCAGAACAGTGTTCTACAAGAGCGTTCAGCAAGACCCCGGCTGTTCTTGGAAGAGCGTCGCGCATGTCACGCAAGCGTGTCTTACAAGTGTCACCCCAGAGTGTCCTTCAAAAGCATCTTCGTTTGCAACTTTGCAAAGACGAAGCCGATTCGCCGCAAATGGCATTTGAGGTGGTCACCTGGGGCGAGTGGGGACGATGGCGTGGAATGGAGTCCTGGAGCAATGGGCGATGCAGTTCCCCAGATTACGTCGACGGAGCTGTGGAGGTTTTGGGGACTGTGCGGATTCACGATGACTCGAAAATGTAGTGGTCAAAGTGAATCTTAGAGTAGTTCCTGGTTTTTGGGTCAAGGGGCCCAGATCTCCCATTCAGTAAATACGGATGACCGAGTCAAGATGATTCTTTCATGAGGTGCCATCCCCTGCTTCTCGAATGCATCGGAAATGAGAACTTGCCCCCAAGAGGATCCAAGCCCAGCTGGGTCCCATCATCGGCTGTTCTCCCAGATGTTTCAAAACCGTCCCAAAGCGAAGAGCTGTTTCAGTGGCGTGATGTTGACCCGTTTTCGTAGATCATGTGTGTTTTCCGGGCCCGCGGTTCACCGGAGTTTGAATCAGGATACGTCCTTTCGACCGGTAGCCGTGATCACCACATCTTGCACCGGGACGTGCGGCAGCCAGCGCCCTTCATGAGCAGCTGGGCAGTTGGGCAGCGCAGGTCTTCAGACACAGAAGTATGGATGTATAGACATTCCCTTGAAGTTGCTAGCACATATCACACATTATGTATCTCCTGGTTTGAGTGTGTTGTTACATAGGCTCGCATTCAGCACTGCAGCATGTATCAATCAGAACGTTCATTCAGTCCAACGACAGAAGTACTGCAAGATGTATTGTTTTCATGTTTTACATACATGCCCGAGCATTTTCGGGCCAAGAAAGCGCCCACTTCAAGCCATCATCTATATAATCAGATGTTGCCATTGATCCGCGAAAAAGAATTTTCTCCGCCAACTTTGCCGCATCAATGCAAAAGACAGAATCAGTAATTCCAAGGCCCATCCATCAAGCATGTCGCACTTCAACTGAGGCAAGCTCCATGGCCATCGACAAGAAGTCTGTGGCCTTAAGTGGAGCTTTGATGAGCAGCAGTTGGCATCAGGTGGGTGGGGTGAAGGGTTGGAGCGGTTTTATGTGAAAGACGTAGGGCTGACAGCAACGGATGGGTTTTGAAGGGCCGAGGGTCAAGGATCCTGAGGAGTTTTAACAAACTGATTTATGGAAGAATAGTTTAGGGGCTTCCGGCCGGCATGATGCAGCATCATGCCCAGCCCCATGCCTAACTCACATTCTGGGCCCGGAGACCTCAACAAGCAGAAGCATTGCTAGGCCTATCTCACTTGAGAGACAGAAATGAGGAAAATGTGCTTCCGAAGATGCCATTTACTTTGATCGTATTCAAACCTTGTCGTTTGGCCCGGAAAGTGTGTCTTCGGAAAGATTTTCCCAAACGCCTAGCGAAGGGTTTCCGTTTACAGCCTGGGGGTCTGTGAGCTTTGGACACGTGATTGCCTTCTTGCTGCGTTGACTCCGTGTTTGTCTAGAAATTCCTGCCATTGCCTGGGGAAGCTTTTTGAGGGGCTTTGGACCGAAGGATGACGTGTCCCGTTCATGTGAAATAGTGACGAAAACTGACCGTTGCAAGTGCGATGTTTTGCGGGGTTTGCGCTTGGTGTTGCTGTACCTTTGGGATTGGCTTGCTCACGGTGGTCATCTAGAGGTGGTGAATGTTGCTTAATGGATATTTGATATTTGATTGTGAGGGATCGGGTGAAGCAGCATTGTGCCGAAATCATTCCAAACGCGTGCGCCGTGCCAATTGTTTGTTGCCGCGCAATGAAAAACAAAACAGATCGTCAGTTTGCTGCTAATGGAATTACACCACCGTAGACCCCAAACAGATCGAAACTAGAGCTTGCGACGTCCAGAGCTGGGAGACAGAGGATTGCAAGGCAGAGGCGGCCACAGCAGCCCAGAGCTGGGAGACAAATGTAAAGGATTGCAAGGCAGAGACGGACACAGCAGTACAGAGCGGGCGGACACATCTTAAGAAAGAATTGAGAAACCCCCAGAAAACCTTTTGGAGAATTATTCTTCAAGTGCGAACATGATGCTGGTCATGCTGCTCAATCAGCGGGGAGCTGACCACAAGAATTAAAAGCATGAGGAGCGAAGGATGTGACATGAAGTTGATTTTTGGTGCCTGACGTATGCCCTCCGTCCCAACTGAACAGAGAGATCGCTGCCACGCCGCCGAAGTCCAATCCGGTCATTCATCCAACGCTTGCCCGAAAGGAAAACAAAGCTGAGAGAGTTACACAGTGTGGCAGGAATGCAATCCCGGAGACAGTCACGCACCCCTTTCAAAGGAGCAAGAACCTTTCACAGGTGAACCTGTTCCAGCGGACAGGGCAGAAAACAGCAGTGCAGGCACCAAACCTGAAAGACAAAAAGATGGCCAGCGGAAAAGGGCGGCACCACCAGTGACAGACCCGGGAAACAAATGAATAGAAATGCTGCATGGCCAGCGGAAAAGGGCGGACACCAGCAGTGACAGACCTGGAAAACAAATGAATAGAAATGTTACATCGCCAGCGGAAAAGGGCGGACACCAACAGTGACAGACTTGGGAGACTAATGAATAGAAATGCTGCATGGCCGACGGAGAAGGGCGGACACCAGCAGTGACAGACCTGGGAGACAAATGAATAGAAATGCTGCGTTGCCTGCGGAAAAGGGCGGACACCAGCAGTGACACACCTGGGAGACAAAGAAATAGAAATGCTACATGGCCAACGGAAAAGGGCGGACACCAGCAGTAACGGACCTGGGAAACAAATGAATAGAAATGCTTCATGGCCAATGGACAAGGGCGGACACCACCAGTGACAGACCTGAAAGACAAATGAATAGAAATGCTACATGGCACCAGCAGTGAATGACCTGGGAGACAAATGAATAGAAATGCTTCATGGCCAATAGACAAGGACACACCAGTGACAGACCTGGGAAACAAAAGAATAGAAATGCTACATGGCCAGTGGAAAAGGGCGGACAAGGGGGGACACAGACCTGGGAGATGAATAGAAATGCTGCATGGCCAGCGGCAAAGGGCGGACACTAGCAGTGACAGACCTGGGAGACAAATGAATAGAAATGTTGCATGGCCAACGGAAAAGGGCGGACAACAACGCCACTGACAGACCTAATAGAAATGCTGGACACCAGCAGCGACAGAACTGGAAGAGAAATGAATAGAAATGCTACATGGGTAACGGAAAAGGGCGGACACCACCAGTGACAGACCTGGGAGACAAATGAATATAGATGTCGCATCGCCAGTGAAAAAGGGCGGACACCAGCAGTGACAGACCTGGGAGACAAATGAATAGAAATGCTACACGACCTGCAGAAAAGGGCGGACACCACCAGTGTGACAGACCTGGGAGACACGTGAATAGAAATGCTGCATGGCCAGCGGAAAAGGGCGGACACTAGAAATGCTACATGGCCAGTGGAAATGGGCGGACACCAGCGGTGACACAAAGGGCGGACACATCTTAAGAAAGAATTGAGAACCCCTATAACAGTAAACAGTTGGGGGAAAAAGTGGGAGACAAATGCAAGGAAGTGGGAGACAAGCCGGCTGGAAACCCCAGGCACCCAGCCTGGGAGACAAATGAAAAAAACCGGGAGACAATTGAAAAGAAGTGGGAGACAAATGAAAAGACCGACCACAAGCACCCAGCGTGGGAGACAAATGAAAAGAAGTGGGAGACAAGCCGGCCGGGAACACGACCAGATCATCCAGCACCAAGGCGACCATTCTTTAAAGCATTGAGAACCCCTAACAGTAAACTGTTTGGGGAAAAATTGAAAGTGTGGTTTGCCGTCCTTACGTTGTTTGTGTTATCTCCGAGAGTTACAGGCTCAGGAGAGGTAAGCTTTCCTGATTGGGGTTTCAGCAGCATGTTTTGGATCAATGCTTTCCTCACACAAACCTTGCCAGTTCGGCAGCGCCAAGTGTATGACATGTCTCACACCCTTAGCTGCCTCAGCACCCCCCCCCCCAAGGAAGTACTGGTAGCGCCTGTGCAGTTCATGCCAGATGTTTTCGGAGTTTTGCCGCTGTTAAGCTGCGGCTGGTTGGCCTCTTCGTTGGTAGGATTCGTGTTTGCCGCTGTGAAGTTTCGGCTCATTTGGCCGTCGGTGGGATTCGTATTGCATCACGCGGAGTCATTGTCTTTGAATGGCACCATTCAGTCGTATTGTAGTATGTTAAAAACTCTTCCCTCAACTTCCCTTCAATAGGTTAGAGGGCAAACCATGGAGGTGTTCAAGGGCAACAGGGGCAACAAACAAGCATCGGCAACTAGAGGTGTGGCATAGTTACTTTTTGTGGTAGGCACAGGGAATTGCGAGGCACTCCCAAAGTGCCCCACAAATTCGGGAAAGGGTGGCCCTACAAGAGTGTCCAACAAACTGTCCCGCAAAGCCCCACACAGGAACAGTGCCCCACAAGCGCGCCCCGCCACAATGCGTCCCTTCTTGACTATCCTTCAAGAGTGCCCATGAGGAGTTTGAAGCAAGAGTTCCAAACAACATTTGGCCGCTTGTGTTTCCGTCCGTGTGTGCATTCGGGGCAACATTTGGCCGCTTGTGTTCCCGTCCGTGTGTGCATTCGGGGTTGTGTTCTATTGGGTGTATTCCGAACTCCAGTTGTCACTTTTGTCACTTTTCATCCATGTTTCAGAAACTGGCGGCCGAAAGAAAGAACGAGTTGCCCCGGTTCCGCTCATGCTGAAGTTACAAGTTCGTAGTCTTGCACCTGGGTCGGCCGATGTGTGCATAATGTTTACCGAGGCTAGATGACGTGATGTTTCTAGTTAGTGGTCAGGCCAGGGCTACGTGAGGTTAGTGGTCGGTCAGGAAAGCCCGGGCGGTCACGCGCTTGTCATTTTCAGGTGGCAACGACAACAAACTGTGCGTTTGGTCTTTGAAGTCCAACGAGCCGGTCCTGAAGTTCAACCAACACCAAGCTGCAGTGAAGGCCCGCGGAGCCACCGAAAAGTCGGTGAGGAAGGGGAGAAAACCAAGCCCGATAGCTGGTCACCTACGTCAGCGCGTCTTTGAAGTGGCGTGGCGCGCTGCGCATGCAGATCGGTACCATCCGTTCAGCTGACTATAGCAGCAAATTTTGTCGATGGGGTTTTTTCGTTTTGGATTTGCTAGTCCAGGTGTTCTATTGATAGAGGATGAATGTTTGTGAGTGTTGACAACAATCGAAGCTGGCATTTCATTTAACATCTGCAATAACACAAAATCTATACAAACTATACAACAAATGAAAGGGTTACTGCCAAACAAGAAGAATGGTACTCATGTAGCATGTCGAATGACACGCACAAATAAGAAGTGTACCAGTTCACTTACAGACCGCTGTTTGCAGTTCAAAAGGTGCTTCCGCATGGTAGCGGAGCCTGAGAAGGCGATTCCGTAAGGTCTCGCTGGAGGCTCCAGGAGGCACAGGGTTTCCGGACAGGACCCCTGCGCCAATGGAGATCGATCGCATTGGCCAGAAAGGTGAGAAGGGCAAAGGGAAGCAAAAGGGAAAGGACGCCTGGAACTTCAAGGGCAAGGGCAAAGGCGATGCCAAGAATTCGAAAGGAAAAGGAAAAGGTCAACAGAAGAGCTCAGACTATGGCCAAGGGAAGAACCAGCAGAAGGGCAACGTCAAGGGTGACACGCAGAAAGGCCAAAAAGGAAAAGGTGATGGAGGCCAAGTGAAGGTATGCTATACCTGTGGCAAACCCGGTCACCTTGCTCGAGACTGCTGGCGAGTTCGACAAGTGGCAGATGGCTCACCACAACAGCAGACCCAGAGTCAGGGAGATGCCTCATCGACGTGGACATCTACAAGTGGGAGTCAGGCCACTACTGCAAAGACGGCGACCGTGAAGAGGATCATGGAGTTGAGCCCGGTTTCACAAGAATTTGAGAAGCCCCTGATCTTTGATTTGAGGGGAAAGATGCATGATGGTCAGGTGAGGATGATTCAGTTCTACCGCCTGGATGAGGAGAGCTTGAACAAGGGCGACGAGAAGGAGCTGAACATTATGATGGTTCAGGCTGGAGGACGAGGGCATGATCTTGGTGAGACATGCCCCATTATCGTGGACTCTGGAGCGGATGCAACAGTTCTCCCAATCGCCTACCTGGAGGCTGGTGTTGAGGTTGAGGAGGATGGACCGATGTTGCAGGATGCTCAAGGAGAACAGATTTCCATTGAGGGCTACAAGAGTGTCTGCTTCGTGTTCGAGGCAGAGAGTGGCAAGGAGATCCAGATCTACGAGAAGGCCCATTTTTCCAAGGGCATTTCACAGCCGATCTTGTCTTTTGGACGGCTGATGGAGAGTGGCTGGGGAATTGCAGACCATTCCCTGGTGTATGGTTCAGGTGATCATGAGGTCAAGATCCCACTGCGCCTACAGAACAAGAGCTTGGTGGCAGAAGGTAGTGTTCGAACTATCTCAATTGAGCCACAGGTGGTGAGAGTCCTTGAGGCAAAGCTCAAAGAGGACCTTGAGGAGAAGGCAAGGTTCCAGACAGGGTGGAAGGACTTGGGAGACAGATGGATTGGCATTCACCTGGCCAAGACCTTTCAGAATCCGCAGTACGTGGGTGGACAACGTTGGCAAAGGTTGCTGGTGCTTGGCAACTTTTGGAGATGTGTGAGGATCTTCATCGGATCTTCAACCAGGAAGAGGAGATTGAGGGCGCAAGGGAGAATGTCATGGTCATCACCATCTTGACCAAGGAGGCCATGAGTGTGGAAGAGATGGGCTTTGAAGTGGATACTGGACTCCATATCGATGAGCAGCCCATGATGGTCCGTGACCATGAGGTGCCATTGGAGGAGGTTGAGATCCCAGAGCAAGAGCAGCCTGCTGAGAGAGTGGAAGAGGCAGGAGGAGAAGTCGAACAGGAGGCTAGGCTCGCTATGGGACCTGGCATTCCTGATCACATCATGGTCAATGGCATTGAGCTCACATCAGTCAGCCCGCTGAGACAGTTGAGAGCGGCATGCAACTTCTTTGGTGTGAGCCAGTCAGGAAGTCGATTGAGGTGTTACCAGCGACTGGTCAGTCACATGAAGGAGATGGAGCTCAAAGCAGCAGCAGAAGCAGTAGCCGCGGCTCAGATGCAGGTAGCTCGACAGCCCAGAGAACAGCCAGTCATTCCGGTCCCGGCACAGGAGGAGCAGGAGAAGCATTGTCTGACCCATGTGCCGTATCAACCTTGGTGCCCGGCATGCCTGAAACATCGAGGCCGACCTGACCGGCATATGAGGACTGGAGCTTCACGGTTGAGTGGCATTCCAATCATCTCATTGGACCTATGCTACACCAAGGCTGGAGAAGTTGACCGCGATCCAAAGCCCTTAGACAGGGGTCAGGAGGATGAAGAGATGGTCATTGATGTGTGCGAGGAGGAGGAGTCCAAGGAAGCTGAGGAGCTGAGAATTCGAGAGCTCAAGCCGGCCCTGTGGATGATCATGGTGGACAGCCAGACAGGAGCGCTTGGCTCAGTCCCGTTGAAGTCGAAGGGACAGCTCAGCTTGATGGCTCGCGAGATCATGACCTTCATCCAAAGCCTTGGACACGTCGAAGTGGGCCTCTATGCAGACAACGAGCCCACGATGAGGTCATTGTTGAGGATAGTGCTGAATAGCCGGCATTCGATGGGCCTGAGGACAAGGTTGTATACGACCAAGGTGAAGGACTCTGCAGGCAACAGCTTGGCCGAGAATGCTATTCAGCGTGTTCGTGGGCTAGCGTGCACATTGATGTCAGATGTTGCAGAGCGAACAGGTTTGAAGTACAACACAAACCACACTTTGTGGAGTTGGGCCTCACGACACGCATGTTGGCTCCTGAACAGGTACCAAGCCACGAAAGGCATCACCAGCTATGAGTTGGTACATGGACGAAGTTATGATGGCGCAATTGTGCCATTCGGATGCCCGGTCTATGCCTATGTGAAGCCACAAAGTGGAAAGGGCAACCCACGCTGGAGGATGGCTCTTTTCCTGGGAAAGACGGACGGCCAGGACGCGTGGATTGTGGGCAATGGGAGCCAAATTATGTTGACGAGGTCGATCAGGAGAGTCAACAGACCCTGGACAGGTTTTCTCAGCTACTACCAGAACTTCATGACGGCCAGCTGGGAATATCAAACAAACTTTGGTGGGAGGATCATCCCCACCAAACGTGCTGTGACAGGGATACCCTTGAGGGCTGGATCAATGCCAGCGCTGGAGTCGGTTTTCTTCAAGTACAAGGATGAAGAGGCCGAGGAGGTGAAGAGATATGCGCAATCAAAGGAGGGACTGGCAGAACATGAGCAAGAGATCGAGGAAGCTCGTCAAGAGCGAGAACAGGCCGACCTACAAAATGTTGTTGAAGGATTACCAGCACCAAGTGCCCCGCAATTGAGTGAGCCCAATACAGGAACAGCTACGCCCCCAGTTCTTGCAGAGCATCCTGAGGGCAGGGGTCCAGGAGGAGATGTTCCTATGGTGATTCCACCACTCCCATGGGAAAGCGAAGAAAGAGTACCTCCTGAAGGGAAGATTCTGAGGAAACTCCCGCCACCTTCATCAGCAGTGCGAGTCGAGCCTGAGAGCAAGAGATTGCGGGTTGAAGAGCCAGAGAGAGAAGGGCAATCTTCATCGGCTTCAAGAATGGCCCTGATTGAGAGAAGGGTGGAGCGTGTTCATGTGGCTGGAGAAGATATGTACCACCTGGATGAGGTCATCGATGTGGAGAGCTTAGAGATCGAAGGAGGACAAGAGGAGGTTGAAGATTTGGAGGTGGATGCAATTCCAGAGGAGACCATCCGTTGACCCAGACGCCTCCACAACCCCCAGAAGAAGTTGACGCAATGGCTCGAAAGGTGGAGGAAAGGAGATTGACACGGATGAGCGTCATTGAGAAGCTGAAGCCAGAAGAGGCCAACCTGGATGTGCTCACCACAAGGTTTGTCTATGATTGGAGGATCAAGACCTATGTGGGCCAGGACAAGAAGAACTATAAGAGATGGCTGAGGAGAGCGCGACTGGTTGCGAGGGACTATGCTGTGGATAAGCGAGATGATGTTTACAGTCCCGCCAGCGGTCAGCATGCTTTACGCTTGTTGCCAGTGCTCTTCTTGACAGCTGTAAGTTCAGAGATGGACTATGAGCACACCAAGGGCAAGCCAGTGATTGGAGCTTTGGATGTCAAAGATGCCTTTCTTCAAGTTCCACAGGAAAGGCCATTGAGGATTGTCACCACCATGGGGGAATACAAAGTCCTACGGAATCTCCCAGGGCAGAGGATAGGTGCCAAAGCTTGGTATGAATACCTGCGATCCTACCTCATTGAGGAGCAGAGCTTTGAGTTTGACATCATCAACCCATGCCTGGGAAAGAGAGGCACAGGAGAAGACCTCGTGACGATCCTAACCCATGTTGATGATGTGATGTTCACCGGAAGGGAGAAGCCAATAGTTGAGTGCATCACCCGCATGAAGGAGAAGTTTGATATCGAGGTCAACATGGTGAAGGAGTATGGTGAGGAATTCTCATTCCTGAAGAGAAAGTACATCTTCACTACAGAAGGTTTGTTGGTCAAGCCCGGAGGGTATGCAGCGAACATGGTGAAGACCTTTGAGGACTACTTCGGGCCAGTGAGGAAGCAACGTGTCCCAGCTACTACAGACATTCAGGACTTCGATGGCTCAAGTACGATCCCACCGGACCAAGCTGCAATACACCGATCTGTGGTTGGTATGGGCATCTATTTGGCACAAGAAAGATGCGACATTGCCTTCTGCATCAAGGAGCTGGCAGGGAAGATGTCAAGTCCCACCGAGATCTCTATCCAGAAGATGAAGAAGTTCCTTGGATATTTGAAGGAGACAACAAACCAGTCCATGATGCTCCCAATGCCGAAGAGAGGGGAAGGCATGAACACCCACAGCCCGTTTTTATGGCTCCTGGAGACATAC